TCCAATTCTGGCAATGAGCTGGAGCTAATAACCCAAATAATGGAAAGGCATGTCCACTACCAGTTCAAAGACAAATGGTTCAAATCCACCAGCTGCTCTGTGAGAAGAAGATGGCCAGTCTCCTCCTGTGTGATTTATTGCCTCTGAAAAGCCACTAAGGGTCAGCCGTAGGTTGGTACCAGCTTGATGGCACTGAGGTGTTTTTATTGTTTTGGGGTTTTTTTGAGAAGCATTGCTTTCACTGTACACTATAAATACCATGAAAAGGTATTTTCACTATCATTTACCTAAAATATTTTTAAATTTCCCTAGAGACTTCTTTGATCCATATGGTGTTTACAAGTTTGTTTACCATACCTTTATACGATTTTGAGATTTTTCTAGCTCTCTGTTACTAATTTTTAGTTTCTTTTCACTGTGGTGTAAGAAACTGTTTTCCATGAGTTCTACTCTTTTGAATTGATTGTTGTTGTTGTTTTTGTTATGTGCCATCAAGTCGCTTGCGACTCATAGGGACTCTATGTACAAGAGCCCTAAATGCTATTCTATCCTGTGCCAACCTAGACATCTCAAACACAGTCATTCCCACCACTCCACTCACAGAATCGATCCATGTCATTGAGGGTCTTCCTCTCCTTCGCCGCCCCTCCACTCTCCCAAACATGATGTCCCTCTCCAAGGACCAGTCCCTCCTTGCAACATGCCCTAAGGATGTCAGACGAAGCTTCAGAATCCTTGACTCCAGGGAACATTCTGGCTTCACCCTCTCCAGGACAAACCTGTTTGTTCTCCTAGCAGTCCATGGTATATTCAACACTCTTCTCCAGCACCACAGCTCAAAGGCATCAGTTCTCTTTCTGTCATCCCTAGTCACTGTCCAACTCTCTGATGCATAGCACATAATTGCAAAGACTATAGCCTGTATCAGGCACACCTTAGTCTCCAGCCTGAGATCGTTGCTCTTCAGTACTCTTGAGAGGTCCCTCACAGCTGACTTTCCCAGTGTGATTTTTCTCCTGATTTCCTGGCTGCTGTTACCAAGAGTGTTGATTGTGGAGCCAAGTAAACGAAAACTGTTAACTATCTCAATCTCTTCACCATCCATCCTGATGCTGCCAGTCGGCCCAGTGGTAAGAACCTGTTTTCTTTATGTTGAGCTTCAATCCATATTGAAGACTGTAGTCCTTGACCTTCTGCAGCAAACGCTTCAGGTCCTCCTCAGTTTCAGCGAGCAGGGTTGTGTCATCTGCATAACGCAGGTTGTTGACGATTCTTCCACCAATCCTGATGCCACATTCCTCCTTGAACAGCCCAGCGTCTTGGATGATCTGTTCTGCATACAGTTTGAAAAGGTATGGAGACAAAATACATCCCTGACGGACCCCCTTCTTGATTTTGAACCATCCAGTGTCTCCCTGTTCTGGTCCAAGTATAGATTTCACATTAGCACAATCAAATGTTCTGGAATTCCCATTCTTCTCAGAGTTAGCCATAGCTTGTTGTGATCCACTCAGTCAAAACCCTTTGCATAGTCAATGAAGCACAGACAGACATTCTTCTGGTATTCTCTGCTTTCTGCCAAGATCCATCTAACATTAGCTATAATATCCCTAGTACCACAACTTCTTCTAAATCCAGCCTGCACATCTGGCAGTTCTCTGTTGACATACTGTTCCAAACAATTGTGGATAATTTTCAGCGGGATCTTGCTTGCATGTGATATCAATTCCTCATCCCTTTTTAATTGATTAGGGTGTGTTTTTGTTTTATGGTCTGTGTAGCCTGTCCTGGAGAATGTTTGATGTAAATTTGTGGTAAATGTGTACTCACTTGTTGGATGGAATATTTTACAAATGTCAGTAATACCCACTTGACTATCAGTGCTCTTCAGTTCAGCTGTAGCCTTACTGATTTGCTTCATCTGTCAATTGTAGAAAGGATCTCCAATTATAGTAGCAGATTTGTAATTTTTTTTGTTCTGCCTGTCTAGATTCATGTATTTTTTGATATTCTGTTGTTAGGTGCATGCGTGTTAAACTTTTTTTTTTCTGTTTTCTTAGTGAATTGGTTATACACAGATAACTTGTGGTTACTTTGTTACTGTGTTTGGTGGATCTCTTCCATTAAAACAAGCTTGGAAGCAGGAGTGGCATCCACTTCCAAAATAGCTTGCCTCTGGAAACTCTGTGAACTTGGAGAAATGAAGAAAGTTATACAGATGTTCAGGTCTTGCATTCATAGGGTCTCTGCGAGTCGACTGCACTTAACAGCGAGTCGACAGCACTTAACAGCATCATTATTCAGTACAGCTCATTACACCTGCCAGTTTCCTGTGTTCTGAAGGCTGCTTTATTTTCTTTAGTGTTAACATTGTATTTCACCATCCTCCTATCTTTTACAATTTATCACTGTAATTTCCGTCTATCTCTTTTGCCTTATTAGCCCTGGGGTGAGGATTTTCGTTTTCTTGATGTTGAGATATAATCTGTACCAAAGGCTATAGTCTTTGATCTTCTACAGTAAGCACTTCAAATCCTCCCATGATTCAGTATGACTAACCTTGAGAAGAATAGGAACCCAAGAAAATTTAATTGTGCTCATGTGAAACCTATACCAAACTGTGGTTGTTTAACAGAGAATGCGTATGCTGAACAGTTCAAAATCAAGAAAGGTGTGTGACAGGGTTGTGTTCTCTTTCCTGTTCAGTTTGATTGCTGAGCAAATAATAGAAGCTGGACTTTATGAAGAAGAATGTGGCATCAATATTGGAAGAAGATTCATCAGCATTTATTTTTTATTACCTGTAAAAAAGGCACAAATACCATCATTGCTGCTGTTGTTAGGTGCTGTCATGTCAAGTACTGAGAGAGCCTCTGAACAGCCAGCTCGAATCCTGCCCGGCCCTGTGTTATCCTTGTCATCTCTGATACATTAGAGCCCACTGCGAAGTCCCCTGTCAATCCTCATGCATGATCTTCCCTTCTTTCATTGACCCTCTGTCATTCTAAGTATGACGTCCCTTCCCAAGGAAACAGCTTTGCTTAGCTACATGTCCAAAGTATGAAAGATGAAGCTTCTCCATCTTTGCCTCAGGGAGCAACCTGGCTGCACGGTTTCCATGGCATATATGTTCTTTTGGTTGTTGTTGTTGTGATGTGCCGTACAATTGTCCCCTGTGACTCATAGTGACCCTATGTATGGGACCTCTGAAGTCTGCTCAGTCCTGAGGCAGTTTCACTGACTCCGACACACCAACCTCCATTGCCCCAGTAACTGTATCAATCCATCTCATCTGGGGTCTTCCTCTCCTTTGCTGTCCCTCGAGCCTTCTGGGCATTATGTCCTTCTGTAAGTATCGGTCCCTCTTGGCCACGTGCCCAGAGTATGTGAGACAGAGCTTCAAAATCCTGGCCTCCAAGGAGAAACTGGATTTCACCCTCTTCAAGACAGACCTATTTTCTTGAAAGTCCATTGTCAGTCCATGGTATGTTCGTTTGGTAGTCTGTGGGATATTCAGTGCTCTTCTCTAGCACCACAACTCAAAGGCATCACTTTTTATTCTGTATCCTTATTCATTGTACAGCTTTCTGATACATAGCAGGTGATTGAGGAGACGGTGGCCTGAATTAGGTGCACCTTAGTCTTCAAACTGACTGCATTGCTCTTCAGCATTTTGGAGAGGTCCCTGACAGCAGGTTTGCCCAATGCACTGTCTTTTGATTTGCTGCCTGCTTGTACCAAGGATGCTGATTGTTGATCTATCCAAGATTAAATTTGCTAGCAGCTTCAAACCTTTCTCCATCTATCATAATGTTGACTGTTGGTATTGTGACAAAGACCTTTTTTTTCCTTGATGTTGTGATCCATACGGAAGGCCTTGATTCTCGTCCAGCCTGTGGTCAAATTCTTAATACAAAACTCTGCCTACAAGTTGAAGTTTAAAAGAGTTAATAGGTATTAGCACCTAAAGGCATTTGTTTAGAACAAATGTTATTGTCAACAAACTTGTCAACAAATGCTGTTAGGTGGTAATAACTATTAACTTCATGAGACTTCTGCTTGTAAGAAAGTTTTGTATTAGGTATTTGGCCACAGCCTGGATAAGAATCAAGGATGTAGTACTCTTATTTTTTTATGTGTATAGACTTCTTTCCACTCAAAATAATGTGATATATTAAAAGGAATACGATATATAAGAATCAAAAAGCAGTCCTTGTGTTGTGCTTGGCTTTGCTCGGATGTTTATTACAGTATCATGTCCTGTTATGTTGCCCGTTTTAAAGAGGATGTAAAAAACTGTGGAGTGTGTCCTGGGAAGAAGCAACACTGTGATTAAATGGGTGGAAAATAGGTCCTTTGAGGAAATTTTAAGGAATTGAGTTTGTTTACTCTGGATGGGAGACAGTAAAAGGAGTTACTTAACTATCTTCAAGTATATGAAGGGTTATTATAAGGAGTATACTCTCAAGTTGTTCTCCAAATGCACAGAGGACCAAAAGAGGAAATTGACTTCGATCATTTAAAGAAAATTGTGTTAAACACTGAAATTGACTATCAGGGGATGTCGTGGAATCTTCATTTTTAAAAATGTTTAAAAAGAGCAACTGCAGATGGTTCAAAGGCTTACTTATTGAAGAATTTAACTTCATAAGGGCAACAGTTAGGAATCTGGACCTTATAGACTTTTCTTTTATGATATACAATAGTCCTAGCTTTATTGGAATTTATTACATATATCCATGATAATTTATTAAGTTTGGGAACTACTCACACAGTTTTGATAAAAGTTATCCGTCGGCTTCTGCGTTGTGTCTGGACTGCTGGATTTATCTTGAATTAAATAATATAGGGCAATCTCTACTAGTAATGACTTGAAATGGAGTCCTGTTCATGTTCTTACACTCCACTTGACATGACTGAAGCATTATTCGAACCTATTCAGTGTTAAGGTATTTCTTCAAGTAGTGCATTACAAATGTTCTGTAACTCTTTTGTGACAGGGAATCCTCCTGGTATACGATATTACAAATTACCAGAGCTTTGAGAATTTAGAAGACTGGTACTCGGTGGTGAAAAAAGTGGGTGAAGAGTCGGAAACCCAGCCTCTGGTCGCCTTGGTGGGCAATAAAAGTAAGTTATTACTGCTTAATTATGTGGAATATATTTTATTTCCCAGCTTCTAGTTTTTAATTTTGCAAACAAAATTAAAATAAAAAAAATTCCTGCTTGTGGAAACCTCGAGTTTTCCTTGAGTGAGCAAATTACTTGAGGGCTATGCCCAGTGTTTTCAATAACTGTCTTGACACTTGGTCTGTCCTAACCTTGCTGCTGTTCTGGCCGCGTCCTGTGAAGGTAAGTTCAATCCTGACTGTTTTTGGCTTCCTGTCTTCTAGGGAGGCGGCATGGACTGTTAAAGGCAGCGACACAGCTGCAGATTTTATGATGTTGCACCACAGCTTCACTTCTGCCCCAGAGGTTCTGAGAGATACAGTTTGTTAAATGACCCCCTCGTCTGGGGCAGGAAGCAGTTTTAGCGTGGACTTTTGTATGCATTGTTTGTGGCTCTCATTTCTCATAGACTTCCTTTTCTGACTTTAAGGAGTGTCTTCTGAAATACAATTTCTTTGTTTTGAGAGAGAGTGAGTTAGACGGTGGAGCAGTTCTCGGTAAAAATGATGGGCTGTGGAGAGCTGCCCCTTGGGCTATGATATATAGTGTATAAAAAATTATATGACTATATTTAATATAGGATGTTGTTTGGTTTTACAAAAGAAGGTCTGACTAAGACTTTTCAAACATATGAAATATTATGGAATAACCTGATCTTCTCCAGCTTGTTTTTAGGTCAGCAAAAAAGAGAATGAATTCAAATTGTACTATAGAGAATTTAGGTTAGGAACGGTTTCCTGAAGACAAGGGTTGTTAAACCAATACCCTAGTAGACTATCAAGAGAATTCTCTTCGCCAAAGGTCTTTAAAGTATGATACTCTCCCCTCCTCAGCCCATAATTGTTAGGAAATAGTCCTTCCTCAAGGACCAAACCAATAGTCTATATTATGTAATTTTGCACACTTAGATGAACATTTAATAAATCCAAGTCTTACTTTAAGTTCCATATAAAACAGGTGTGACTGTCATTTCCCAGAAGAACCGAGAGTACAGATATTACCGTACTTTATAGAAAACAGTATCACATCCAAAAACTTGGGTAGAAGGCTGTGTTGGTTTTGGTTTTTTTTTTTTAGGCTTTAGTGAAATTTTGCTCATGTGTTTTGGAAAGAATTCTTTTTAGTTGCGTGAATCAGATGCTCTTCAGTTTATTAAAATTCTCGTTTAAAAATCACAGGTTTGATGTTCTGAGGCTTCTTTCTGTTACTTTTTTATTTTAGGAGATCATTTTGTGTCATTTCTACCCTACTTCAATTATTTAATTTCTGCATCTTTGGAGGCTTTTCCATCACCTTTTGGGAAATTATAGGGTAGGGGGCAATGAGGTTTGGAATTTGTTATCATTTTCTTCAGAATCTAATCTGACCACCATCTGCAGTAATGGTATCATGGTACATAATTATATACATCATGTTACATGTTTATGCTATTCTCTGAGGCATCCAGCATTGGTCACTGTCAAAGACAGGATGTCAGGCTCAGTGGGCTATTGGCCTGCCCTGGTGGTGCCGTTTCCAGGTTTTGAAAACAAATATTTATATAACTTATATGAATGTATGCAAAAAATTAATATAGTGTTATGTTTAAGACTTTAATAGCATAAAAGTCAAGAGATTTTTTTTTCCGCCCCAACTTTGAGCTTAAATGGATTTATAAGACTCTCTTTCGGAAAGGTATCGTGTAACAGAATGTGCAGTCACACAGAATGTTGTATGTAAAATGAAGAGACTGTAGACAAACATGTCTCTGGGTATTATTTACTGCATAATCTGTCTCTGGCCCAGTTTCTTAGGATCATATAATGAGGGATCTTTCTGCAGTTAAGGCTATTAGGGCTTTCTCTTTAAGTCTCTTGAATAGTTTACAATTTGTACTTCCAAATTGATGTTACCTACAATGATGTGCTAGAATGTACTCATTTTTTTTTCTGTTTTGAGGTAATAATCATAATGGAAAGCAATAGAATTAACAAAGACATTTGTTAAAGGTGAAACAGGAGAAGAGACGTAAAGGAAAAAAAACATATGAAACCAGACTGTTTTGCTCATTTCCTAAACATTGTCATATTCTGCTTGAATGTGGTTTTTTTGCATTATTGTGTTATATTCTTGGCAAGTTGAATAGGTAGATTTTGCTGAAAAGAAATATGTGTAAGGTTTGGAAAATAGTGGTAGTCTTAGTCAACTTTTAGCTGAAGCTTCCTTGAAAGAGAAAATGGTAGTACTTATTTGCATACCAATTGTGCGTGTGAGAGTGTGTGTGAGAGAGTGAATGAATTTGTTCCATACTCAGAGCTTCTAATTAATAAATTATAAGACTGCTAGATTTTTAATAAAACAGAACATTCTTAACACTTTTATTTTTAGGATAGAGGATAGTGTAATGTAAGAATACTTAAGGATTCATGTTTATAAAAAAAGGTTGTACCATGTTTTAATATCAATCCGTAACTGTTGTTTTGTGCCCACCAGTTGGAACCGACTCATTGCTGACCCTCCAGTAGGTTTTCAGAGGCTGTCAATCATGTGGGAGGCAATTGCCCGCCTTTTTCCTGTGGAGAAGCCGGGAGATAGGAACCACCTGTATCTGGGTTGGCAATACAAATCTTTAATAATTAGGCCAGCAAGAGCTCCCTAAATAGTAACTAGAATAGGTTACTGTAGTCGGCAGAGGAAAGAACTTGCTTTACTACAATAGAGTGATTGAGAATCATAAATTATTTCAGTACATAATGCTCAAGTATTTAATACTTAAAACAAATTATTTCACTCCTCATTTGCATTTTGAAAGGCCATAAGGCACTTGTTAGTGTTCTTTTTATAGTTTAGCATTTTAGAAGGAAGACCCTCAATGAGATGGTTTAACACTGTGACTGTGACAATGGGCCCAGGTATGTCAGAGATGATAAGGATGGCACAAGATCGGACAGGGTTCAGGTCTGTTGTTCATAG